CAAAATATTCGATAAATCTGATTTATGCAAAGCCAATAAAAGAAGATTAGATTGGCTCCGGAATACAGCGGCATAACTCATGAAATCGGCTAAACTATAAATTCTGAGAAATCTTTTTGATGAAAGAGAGATGCTCGGCGTAAAATACCTCGGGAGAAACCAAATACCCCCTTGGAAACCAAAGAGAAATAATTATATAGATGTAAGAACATAAAAAGCCATATCAAAATCAATGAAACCATAGATTTTGAGAAATCATGAATGAAAAAACCGATTGTTGAAACTTGTTCGATTACTTGACACATAAATCCCTAATGAGAGAGAGAGACATGCAGTGGCGTCTCTTATTCACTCTCCCTCATCACTATCACTAATTTCGTCCGAAATAAAGACTTATTAAGCTGCTTCAAATATATATATATATATATATATATATATATATATATATAATCATGATATTAATGGATTGATCCTTTTCGTGATCGGGTGCCAACCCTTTTCTAGAAGTACATCGCTACCTGACCTCGAACACGACTTAGCGATGAGAGAGATCTTTCGAACGCATCACGATACAACAATAACAAGATACGAGTCGAGTATATATATTGGTTCCACCACGTCTCCATCCGATACCTATAGTTGGTCCATCACAAGATAAATGAGATAAATGTAAATAATCTTGAGCATCGAACCGTTGATTTCATATCGAACGGTGATGAGATCATCGTAACATGATTGTTGGTCAATACATCATCTAGAATTTAACCGTTCGACCCTTCATCAAACGAATCCACGAAAACAACCGTCTGTCACGGCGGAGGCACCTACCAGGGCACATCATCTTCTTATCGGTGGAAAGATGCGGGACTCGGAGGTACCACCATTGGGAGTCAGATCGAAATGGGCCAGTTCAACCATGGTCGTACACCCGAAGCTACATGGTTCGCATCTAGATTCCAGGTAGTCTATTAGCATGTGTGGTTAGCTTCGGTGTCCAATGGTGGACCTTACGGTCGGTGAAGAATATATGTTATCCAGAATTACTGCCCAAGGGAAGTCCTTGGACATGCCCTTGGGAAAGAAGGTCATTCGCATTAGGAGTCACATGGGGTGTTATAGGTCCAGCTAGAATGTTCTATCTGTTGATGTTGATAGGAAGAGAGGATAGAGATATCAAATAGAGGAAGAGTATGACATGCTTTCAATCTTCTATATTTCTCTCAAGAAAAAACACTTTTACAAATTTCAGAAACTCTATTGACTCATGACCCAACATATGGGGTTTATATAGTCCCCAAAGATACATTATATTAATTGTATTCAAGATGAATCATTCTCTTTCAAGAAACCCTTTCAAGAACCAATAACCAATTTGACTTGTCCTTCCATAGACTTTTAATCCATTTTTTCTTCTTGATGTATTGAATCTCCCTCTTGATGCAATGAACCTCTTTTGATGAAATGAATCTCTTTATGATACTTGAACAAGTTTAATTCCAACACTATCCTCATGGCACATACTCGATCATTTTTATCTTCATTATTATTGGACTCTTTGCACCAATGGGAGTGTGGATGTTATCACGTCTATAGCTTGAATGACAATAATCAGCAAGATTTCAGCAGAAACTGATTAACTATTGTCATATAAATACTAATTTACCCCTCCCATAAAGGCCGGCAACAATGGCTGATCCTATATTAGCGTCATGCAAGCACTGATGTCGATGATCTTAATGGCTGTTCACTGCTTGTAGCAAGAACCAGGGTCCAATGGAGCAGTTCTGCCAGGTCCTGCTACCGGCGCAGCAGCAACCCCCCTTTGGTTGAGCAAACATCTGAATCTAGCCAATCTTCCTGTGGCTTGCCTTGGGTCCTTCGCTAGTTTGTCAAGAGGAGTCCACAACCTCTCTTTGGAAAAAACAAACCGATTGCAGAATTCAGTAGATTCACGAAAGATGATCAGAAACACTTAATTAACAATGGCGTGAATTTTGACAAACAGTTTATACAAGTATTGATCTTTATCTCTGCTTTTGATACTACACAATACGTTTTTCAGATATGAGTAGCATGCATGTTGAAGAAGACAACTTGATAATATGATTCTGTCGAAGTAAGGAGACAGCAGAGGTAGCACTCGGCTGGTTTGGTGCAGGTTATTCTTGAATCTTTTATATGAAAAAATTAAGTAGAATTATTTACCTCTATATCATAAATCTTGTATTGGCAAGTTTGATATTCTATACTACCACAGCACTTTGGATGCACAAGAAGATATCACTTGTTCTACAAACATGCAAGTTCAGATGTATAAAAGATGGTGGACTCATGCCGAGTTTGTAAATTTGTCAATGCACACATCTAGTGTCAGACCAATAAAGATATTACCATTTTGAAATGTTCAATTGATCTGTATGCGAATATGCGTGGACTGATGTTTGCTGTCTGACCGAATGCCGATATTGGAACATATAGTTCGATAGCGATACAATACCATTACTTTTTAATTTGTTTTTCTATTTTATTCAATTATATATATACTGGTCTTATATCGGTTGGGTAGGTTATGGAAACTGATATCTAACCGAGATTTTAATGCTTAGTTTTCGCCAGTATTACCTGCAGCAGCTGCAGCACGAGGCCAGATGGTTTGCTCGATATCAGAGGCATCAATACTTTCTCCCCACATGCACACCTCACCACCAATGACCAATTTTTGCTGCTCAGGCGTGGAGATGTTTGTAAGGGGCTCATTCACGTAGAACTTCTGCCATGGGACATCCAAGTGATCCAAGTACCACTTGTCCTGGTTGCTCACAATGCATATCTCAGTCCGGCCGCCACCACCTTCTGCGCTATTCCACCACCAAGCCTGCAAGCACACAAGGAAAATTGTCTTATGACATAGATGACACCAACACAATCCATCCGGATCGGTGTACACATAAATAAATCCAAATTTCCAACATGCATTCTGATTTTTCTTTTTTTTTGGGGGGTGAGGATCTGGGAGAGGAAACACATGTGGTTTCTGAATGAAGTAAGATAGTGTATCATCGTAACTTTTTGTTTTGACTAGACAGATTGGACAAAGAAAAAATGACATCAAGAGCATAATACAATTAGCATTCTATAAGAAATAATAATCTGATCTCATTGGATGATAAGTTTGTGCTGCATTAGTTTGTTCAGTTTTCCATGCTGACCAAAAGATGGATGCTGAAAAAGCAAATTGTTACTATACATGTACATAGTCAAAAGATTATAAATATGTTTATTTTGACTAATATTAGATATTTTACAACATTAACTACAAGTATGATGAATGAATGATGGATGGTCTCTGTTCCCACGTATCATCATGGTATCACTGAATACGTGAGGGTTGTTAATGATCACAATTATTATCCAAAAATCAACATTTGTTGTGTGTTTTATCATTAATGATGAGAACTTACATTTGACATATTTGAAAGCATATGTATTGCTTGATACCAATTAGAACAAACATGGCAGATCAAGAAAAAATACCAGTTATGAACCACAGTTTTTGGGCTGAGTTGACTCCCAAAGTTGTTGAAAGTCTCTTCCCTGTTCATCAAGGAACATAAGTTTTAGAGCAGAAACAACCGAGGACATACAATTCATCCAGATGTAGAATTCATACCAATTGATGACTTCATATCCATGTGATAATGCTATTTTTTGTGCACGCAAAACAAAATACTTGTAGCCCTGAGATTCATTCATTCCATGTTTATTCAACCTGTAAAAGAAATTACATAATGTTGAAGATAATCTAAAGCAGTGTCTGTCATACCGAATCGTACCGCCTGGTACGGGCGGTACGTACCGGTCCGACAGGCCAACGGTACGCGGACCGCCCGGTACCGGTCCGCACTGTAACAGTGCTACAGTGCTCGATACACCATACCGGTACCGAGCCCAGGTCAAAATACCGATATGGTACGATATTACGAACCTTGATCTAAAGTTTATCTGAGTTAGCGTTAAAAGGTGTTATAAAGTCATACTAAATTCTGTATATGAGTAAGATCTTCATATATGAGTTATGAGTTTGTAAGCTAGATTAGGAGAAGAGTGATGGATAAACCTCTATGAATCATACAAGTGCACCAAAATTCTTTGCAATTTTCAGACAGATACACCTTTTTTTTTATGCTTGTCAGACAACGAAAGTTACTGAAGGATTAAGGAACAAGAGATGAAATATAATTGAAAGTTATTGGGGGAATGCAAATTTATAAGAGAAACAGAATCTAATGATTTTTTGAATAGAGTGAAACTGAGGTTACATTTTTTATAATAGGACTCAAAAATAGTCCGATGCTATTTAAAAATATTGTAATTCAAGTATCCAATTTTTTAATTAAAACTTAGAAAGAAAATTTCTAATAATTTACAAGTGATTTTTGGCCTAAGTGATTGTAAATTCTTTTCAAATTAGTCGAAACTAAAAAATGGACACAAATGTTTTAAGGACTAAAATCAGTGAAAATATCGATTTTGAAAGTTGAAAATATCTATTTTAAAAGTTTGAAATAGAAAAAGTGATTGTTCAAGCCTTTATAAAATGTTTTTAAGGTTTTATTAAATCCTGGATCGTTTTGAAATAGTTGACTGAATTGGCATTATTTTTTAATGAAGAAATATTGTTTGTAAATGAGAACCAAAAACAATGTAACTCAACTCCTTTGGAAAACATACGACGATAATATTCACTAGTTTTTGGCCTAAAGTAATTGTAAATTCACTTTAAATATCAAAATTGAAAAAAGGTACAAATTGAGCTTTTCAAACGTTTAAAAA